ACACACACACACACACACACACACACACACACACACACACACACACAGCCTCAATGCATTTTTGTCTTCAAGATCAAACCTTCGATAATCAATTCAAGTCTGACTTTAAAATGTTTAAAATGCTGTGAAGAAGATTAGTGTCTAGACTGTCACACACACACTGCTCTGTAACACTGTCTGTGCTTCTTTCTCTTTCAATTTTAGCCTTTCATTGCATCGATCACCTTTTTTAAAACAGAATTATCTGGATCAGAGTTGCAAGAGGCTTGATTTTCCCCCAGCATCTATGGTTCAGAAACTTAACAAGAAGGCATCCCAAAGTGTCATGAAATTCATCAGCAACCACAGGGTTTCTTTATACCACAAAAGTTGTAATCGTGTTTTGAAAACTGAGCTCTTTCACCATTAAAGTATACAGTAAAACCATCCCTACAACGATGGTGGATTGGCTTTCCTGGTGTTCAATTAGCTTGGTAGGTAACCGACACCGACCAACTGTCTAATTTGGTTTTGTGCTGCAAAAATAAAAGCAATCTCAACTAGTACTGTATAGCTGCTAATGGATGCCAATTAACATTAAGGTTTGATAAGAATTAATGAGCCTGGGCTACACTGTGAGATTCCAGTTTGAGCCTGCAAATAAAAACATCCAAAACCTCTAAACCTTTTAACTAACTGAAGGATATATCACATCAACGCTCATTTACATAGATATTAAAATAGTTAAATTGATCCTTCCTCAAAAGATTAGATTAGAATAAACCACCATCGGCAAATGTAATAATTGTTTCACACCGACCTTGTTGACACTAACAAGACAGATTGAGACAGAGGCTTGATTCTCCAATCAAATATAAATGGTAAACCATCCAGTCCAGTGTTTTGTGCCTTCCTTGCCACATATTCAGTGTGACATTAGCAAACATCAAAGCTGCAACAGTAATCTGCATTTTATAAGCATCTGGAATCGTCTGGAATAATTATGCCACAGCAACTGTCACAGCCTAGCAGGGACATCAAGAGAGTGAAGAAAAGCTTAAAGGGTCAGTTCACTCAAATTACAGCCCTAATATTATCTCGCATTTTAACCTTAAAAAATAAAAAATTCTGGTGAAGAAGGATGTTTGCAAAAGCTTTTTCTTCTACCTTTTAATGTATACTATGAATTGAAGTAGAAATTGAATACACGACAACAAAGTAAAACGACCAAGTGTTTTCCTACAATGAGCTTCAGGCAAATCTAAAATTAAAAAGGACAATTACATCACACAGATTCAATTATAGCCAAATGGTACATGAGCAAATGTAGGACTGTAATGTGATCAGACAGCCAAAGTAACTGGCCAAACACCAATGACCCATTTATAGCACTGTAGCTTTAATTATCTCTGTATCCTTTATGCATCCAGGGAGGGCCGAAAGACTCTTCAGTCTGAAATAGCCACCTTTCATGTACAATCACACATCTAGACATTCACCTGTAAGCTGCTAAACACAACACATCACTAACACACACACACACACGCAATAATAATAAAACACTTTCTTTAAATGCAAACTCGTATCTAACAAATTATGACTTATGATAGTTTATGCACAAATGTATAATTGCTGAGATCAAACAGGGCCAAAGGCGCCACACAGACATGATTGGTCAGATACTTTTTCAACAAGCTGACAGTTTTGATTATCTACACCACTTTAATTGGAGGAGAAAATGATCGCAGCCAAAATTAGGTTTTTAACAAGACTAACCAGATTCAAGCTAAACGTTAACATCACAAAACCAGGGCTGACATGTTGATGTTCAGCAGGTGTAAAGTTTACCATCTTAGTTTAGCGTGTTGGCATGCTAACATTTGCCAATTAGCATTATAAGAAAGGAACTACAGTAAAACAGTCTAGTTGTCGTCACACTTGTAGCTGTAAGGCTGAGGTCCAGGGTAGTTAGAGGAATCTACATTCCAGCCGGAGGGCTCCACCCACTCCTTCAGGGGAGCATTGGGATCAGGTGAGGGAGGAGACACACCTCCCTAACATCTCCAGGGTTGGAGAGATTTGAGACCTGAAAACCTGCAGAATTGACTCTGTCTCTGATTGCTGTGCTGCCACTATTTTCTGTGTCCTCCGTACCGTCCTGTTACAGTGTTGGTTATTATTACTTCAATCTACAGCGGCAGTTTAAAAGGCGGAGTCGACCTTTTTGTTTCAGTCTCAATTTTCCCCCGCAACAAAGATTACTTTGAAGAAAGCACGCGCGCACACACACACACACTAAAGTGGTGGCAAACGGTTAGAGGACAGCATGTTGCACGTACAAAAAGCCTCATTCTTTGACACGTTTGTCTGCCTCCCCACAATTTATCTTCAGCCTTTCAGTTCTAAAAAGGTCCAAGCACTATTTATAATCCACCATAATGTCTTTTCCTTACAAGTCCCTGCTTGCTGTCTGTTATGAGATCTCGCTGCTGGCTGGTCGCATGCCAGCCCCGAACTCACTTCAATTCAGCCAAGAGGAGAGGGGAGAGGAGGGGGGGGGGGGGGCACTTAGAGCCATAAACACAGCAACTCCAAATTTCTGCAGATGACTTCGTGACAATGTCAGGGCATCAGGCCAAGGTTAAGTTGTGTCATATAACTGACTACACTCCGCTGCAACAATTCCACAGTGCTGTTAGTGAGCTTGACTAACTGCTGTCATACAGTCGGTGCTGAGACTTCAGATGCAGCTCTGAAACCAACCAGGCTACAAGCTGCAGACATGGGACAAACATCAGGACACATGACACTGGTGTGCGTTTAGACAGACGATAAGAGAGGAGGTTGTCTTGTTCAGAGCTAAGATCACAGTTGGTTTCACAATTCAACTGACAGATGTAAGCAATTCATGACAAACTACAGATGGTAATCTTAGTGACTGATCACAACATGTAATACATTACATACCAGCTCTACTCTGCCTTCCAAATGCACTGTTTGCATTATGTCACTACACACATTGGCATAACATCATCTCAGAATGAACATGACCTTTGGTTTGGAATAATTATATCCCTTTTTCATGCTTTGCTTTAGTTTTGGTTTTAGTCTCATCAACTGCACCACCTTTGATCATACAGTATAAAGCTGGATTAGATGAAGTCATTGTCCTTTTACGACTTCGATTTCACACAGTGAACAGGAAGTAACTCCTGTATTGTTCCTCCAATATATGCTGTTTTTCATTTAATAATAAAAAAGGAGGAAAAAATAAAAGTCTCAAAGCATGACAGTAGGAGCTAATTATACTACTACAGCTTCCTTTTTAGGTAGTTTAAGAGATCAGTGGATCAGATGAGAAAGCACAGGTCTGAGGTTGAAAACATGTCACTAAATCGTGTATGGGCTACACAACCTTCCCAATAAATCACCACCACAGAATTTGGCCACTGCTGCCAATAAAGCTGCCTGATGTATCAACATTTGTGCATGCAGTCAATTAAAAATACGTTTCAATTACTATCACACACCTGTTTCATCAAACATTACGGATTACGGCACAAAACGGTTTGATGTTGATTTGAATAAAACAGCACCCACTTTAATGTCGAGTGTGTGAACACTTGCTACTGTCAACGTTTCCTGGAGGATGCGACAACATGACCCAGACTGCTCTTTATTCTCGACTGCATCACGCTGAGATAAGCCACATTCCTCAGAGACGGCGTCTGGCGAGTGTCTCTTTAACATCATGACTGAATCAACAAGCTGTATGAGCAATGTAAATATAACCCGTATATCTGATTCACGTCTCCTATCATTCATTCTCCATAATAAACCCATTACTGACTCCATCTGCCTCACCATCCCACTCTCACTCCTCCCCTCTCTCCATGAATAAACGTTTCAGAAATATCCCACGGAGGAAACTAATAATTGATTTTTTTTCTATGGTAAGTGTTGTGTCAATCAGCCATCTGTCATGTTTTCTATGACAGGGACCAGCTGCAGGGTTTGGCGCACAGAAACATTTATTTCTTTAAAAAAAACTGACATAATAGAAACTATTAGAGTATATTTTTTCAGTTTCAGCTTGAATTAATATAATATACAATACAACCTGTGTATATTTTTGAATTTCTGTCATAACTTCCCCTTCCTAACTTCCCTGAGACTTTTGATTTTATGCATGCTTGCACTACTTGTGGTTTTGGGGGCCTTTGATGGTCAACGGCCCCTGGACATCTGCTGTGACAGTCAATCAGCCAGTCATGCAGAGGCAGCAAGAACCCAGTCATAATAATCCCTCCATCAACAACCAATAAACAGTTAGCCAGCTTGAGCTACACAATCAGCAGATTCCTTCACAGTCTGTGGTAACCTTATTGTGTAGGTTGTAAATAGCGGTGTAACGGATCGTCGTTGAGCCGTGATCCGTACGGACCCTCACGGTTCAGCACACATGTACGGTGGATTAAATACTGAGGTTACCTTAACCATCATAGTGTGAAATAAAGTTTTACTGAGGATCGTTATCCGCCAATGTTCAATAAAATATGCGATCAGTACATCGGTTCTGTTACCCGATCCCTGATAATGTTACAATGTAAACAACCAATGTGTGTTTAAATTGACCAGAGGAGAATGATGGTGCAGTTGGGTTACATTATGATGCGTTCAGAGATTACAGTGCAGTTCTATAAAATAAATGTACTATGTGAGTGTAACTGCACTTAGATTTAAAGGATCAGTGTCAAGCATTTAGGGGGATCTATTGACAGAAATGGAATATAATAAATAAATGAATATACTTATAAGTGAATAACCACATGAAAGTAAGAACCTGGTGTTTTTGTTAGATTGAGCTGTTGATGTCTTCGCCATGTTGCAACAGAAGCCCAGATCAGATAAACAACACTGGCTCTAGCCGGAGCCTTTAGCGTTTCACCTTTTTGTATCAGCCACTGACGTTTAACATTAGATGTCGCCAAATCCTTCACAATGTACCTTTAATCATAGTAATTGTATTACATTTTATGTTTTGTTGACTACCTTTTTTAAATCACTTTGAATGAAAAAACACACTATTCAAGTCTGACGTGTGGATGTTCTGTCTCTTTAAAAAAAGAAGAAAAGGGAAGCAGATGAAATATCTTAAAACTTCAGAGAAATATGCCTGAATATCCCCAATTTCATGCTAACATGCAGATTATGTTACTTGGTAAACTGAACAATAGGCCTATAATTACTAGACCAACTGTCATTTAGAGCAATTTAATGCTGTTCCTAAACTTACTGAAAGCATATTGCCTGTCTGTCATCTGGTGGCTCTCACGTGACTCATGTCCGACCACAGCCGGACACGAGAAAATGTGCACAAGCAGCTTGTGGAATCTCCCAGAAAGAAAAGCCCGATTATAGCTTACTATTCCTCTTTATCTGCTCGCTCGATGTGTTTACCAAGTACGGATCAGGCAGGTAAGAGCAGGGTAAAGGTGCACACAGGAGGGTGCGGCCACCTTGTAGCAGACAGACTGCAGAAGAACACTACTCCACAGGTACAACACCTGTCGCGTTCAAACTGTGGATCACAACTGAACGCTGCGATTTGAAAAGTGGATGAAATGTTGAGCGTCGATCATTTTCTAGCAAGAACACCATTTATTATGATTCCTTTCCATGGAGGTGGACGGCGCACACACACACACACACACACACACACACACACACACACACACCCCCTGTCTGTCTGCGCATCGCAAACCGGGATATTTGTGCAAACAGCGCGCGCTCCTCTTTTTAACAAATCATCATAATGACGTTACTCACCCACCAGACGATGGCATAAGCGAACAGGATAAATTTGAGTAAAATGTAGGAGAATCGCTGACAGTATCGGACATCTTCGTCGTCGGACATCGTGGCTGACTGAGGACAGTTGACTCCTGTGATGTTGACAACTCACTTCCGCGTTGTCATCGTCACCACACCTGGTAGCGCACGAGTGATGGATGGGTGGGAGGTTTATGGGCTGGAGTAAACTGAAAGCGATATCGAGTGGGAGTATTTCGCCAGTAAAACATTTAAATGGCCACTGAGATTTCGAATGATCGATGAGTTTGATGAAATACAATTGTTTTTAGACCGGCGAACCGCGAAATTGATCTGAATGCCTCAGGGGCGTATCCAGGAATTATGGGCTCATTGCACTTCCTCCTCTTTTCCTTTATTTAAACAAATAAAAGTCTCACTGAGATTAGGTTATAAACCACCTTTTGAAAGTGGTTTGGCAAGGAGGATGGCATAAAACAGTGCAACAACACTATCTAACACTAGCTTCCCTTCCCCCCTCTACAGACGGTAATCTCCACAATGCCAGCATTAATTACCTACCCTGCAATCTGTGAATTGATTCAGGAATTTGTCAAAAAATTATAAATAATACGCCACCCTTTGTCTTGCACATATATACAAAGTGGTGATTATTTGTACATGTAATACCAACTGACTTGTGCTGCCAATGAATCTATGTGAGACGCTGATACATTCATTCAAAGCTGGCTGCACACAGACAGGCTGTCTGGGGCCAACCATCGGCCATACTGTTTGCTGTGCTTTAGGCACAATTGGCTCTGGTCGACCCTTATTAGCAGTCGTTCAGCAATATAGTGTGTTGAGTCGATAAGAGGGAGCCGTCTGAGTGGCTTTTCAGTCAAGTAAATCACTATTTTCACCCGTTAGTTTTGGCTGTTTTTTTATCTCATCTTGACAAAGTAAAGCAAACCTGAGTATTTTCAGATGTAGTCTTTGAAATGTGCTCAAGTACTACAATTAAGATGAGTGGAAATGTCTTTGTGCTAGATCAGGGTATGTGCGTTTCATCCCTTCATCATCACTGTTATTCGTCCCTCTGCAGTGCATCAGGCTTGGATTCACTCAGGAGTATACACTTACAGCTTAGCAAAAAACGTCTCATTCCCCTGCCTGCCTGTGCCCTTCACCAGGCCCTGCTGACCAATAAAGATTTTTGAGCATGTGAAAGTACACACATGCAGTGCATACACACACAGCAGAGAAAAGAACTGAGTGAGTTCAGCTGAAGTCAGCAGGCTTAACCTCTATCTGTTATTTTCTGTGCAAACACATAAGAGTAGATTTCCTCTGAGAGGGAGGGAGAGTCACAGAGAGCAGGAGAGAGGACAGACACAAAAAGAGTACAAATGTGAGGAGGAATATCAAACAACAAAGTGCTAGTTACTGTCAGTGAGTATAAAAACAACAGAAAGCACAAGAAGATAACAGTAAGACAGAGCAAAATAGAAGCCATCACATCAAAATAAAATTAGCTTATCACAGAGTATGAAGAAACACAAATTACTGCCACACATCACCGTTATAGATATGTGAACATTGTACAAGTACAGCAAGTGTGCATGAAAGTGCCCTTGATGGGACCTTATGGTGATAGTGGCTGAGTTAAAAAGTGCATATTTATATTGTTTATCTCTTTTTATTAAACACACATGTATTGATGCAAAATACTAGGACAATGCCAGTAATCATGTGCCCTTTTACATGCACTAATATTGTAATACTCATATTCATATTCACAGATTTAAACCAGCAGCACATAAACACTGACTCATTCAATCTCTCGGGAGACATTTAAGTGTTTTGTCATGTTTCAAATGCCACAGCTCTAACAAGAAGCAGCATTTCTTTTCTAAATGTGTGACTGCCAATGACTGCAAACACAGAGCTGTACTTTACAAGTACTGCGCCATGGATTATCAACCCCATTTTCAACTCTGTAGCCCCCTCAGTTCATGTCAGATAAATTCTATGAGGAACACTTCAGTTGCAGTAATCCAGATATCGACACAATCCCTCAAAGGAGCACCTCCTTGCTTTTCCATGGAGAGTTTATTAAATGTGTGTGGATGTAACTCTTGCTCTCCTGTTTTTTAACCAGTCTTTATAGTTCTGTATTTCACATCCAAGCTTTCAGCCATGGTTTAGATGGAGCCATCCAGAGCCAACACATGCCTTCAATTGATGCCCTTCCTCTTCTTTCTGTTTCAATATTATTCATTTTTAATTTTTATTTTCATTTTCTCACAGACAATAGATTCAGGAAATGTGCGGAACAGAGCAGTTGATTTAGTTCTGCTTTTCATCTATACCGCTCTCTCTCTCTCGCTCTCTCTCTCTCTCTCTCTCTCTCTCAGTCTCTCTCTCTCTCTTTTGTTGGCGCAGCTCCACGCGCACAGTCGCGTGCCTGCCTGTCAGTGCGTCTCTCTCAGCAGCTTGTACCGTAATCAGCTACACATTCCAGGAGAGAGCGAAAGAGTGTGTGTATGGTCAGAGAGAGAGAGTTGAGATGTCTTGATGGATTATTGGATGTACCTGGTTGTCCATTACGCACACGGAGTCTAATTTACGGACGCTGTTTACTATGGATTGGACAAACTGATGTTAAAACTGACAACAACCACGAGAGGTAAGTCAGATGAAAGAAGTACAGATTTTGTCTTATAGTTGTGCAGAACATCTTTCACTGGTTCCGTCCAATGCATGACTTCATCACTTGTGGCTGTTGCGCCTCTGCATCCAAAGAAAATGTCTGAGTCAAATGCCCGTGATGCACATTGGCTGATGAATGTATTTATATTAGTATAGCAACAGTTAAACATATTTAGCATATTAAAACATAATTTCAATCAAATGTGAGGTGAAACAAAGTGCAGCTTTATTTAACGCAGAAGGAAATGTTTGAATAAAACTAACATGTGCTCCTGTAAGATTAGGCTATCAGTAGATGTGGAACTTGCTGTAATAGTGATATGATGTATGATTATTAACTCAGGCGACTGTGCTGATGTTCAGACGGCCGAATGCTAATTTCCCACTTGACGTGATTGTATGCCTATCTGCAAAGCATAGATGTTTTAGTGTTAAAATATTATAAAATATCTTGAAATATCTATTGTTACATATCTATAAATATCTTGAAATCATAGGAAAAATTCAGCTAGAATTGTACAACAGTTTATTACTGCATGAGATATTTACAAATCAAGTTATATTTTAGGTAACTCCAAAAACATGAGTCGGTAGAATATCACATAAGGTTAACTGACCTCCTGTAAATCTCTCATTGTGCCCCATTACGCATGAAGGACCTACAGTTAAATAAAGTTTCTGTCACCAGAAGAGGGAGAAGAATGGACGCCGAGGGTCAGATTCAACACATTGAACGAGACATGGAGGCCACTTCATTGCCGTATTCATTGACCACGGACTGGCTGGAGGACGGGAACGAGACGACCGGGAATCAGTTCCAGCAGTCGGACTGGCAGGTGGGAGAATAAAGATCAGAGATGAAACCCGGAAGACTTTAATCAATGAATGAATGAACGATATCCTATTAAAGTTGTTTAAAAAAACGACTACAAAGCAAACAAAATGAATGCTTTTAAGTGTTCGTTTTAAAAATGCAGAGATCCTCAGGATGTTTGAAAAAAAAAAAATCACAAGCTTCCTAGATGTAAAAAAACAACTAAGTCTACTAATTAAGTATTTTGAGGCAGAATATTATAGGCTATCGATTAAGTTTTCAATTGATTGTTTGATTATATATATATATATATATACGTATATATATAGGAAGAGAAGAGAAGATATATATGTATATATTTACAATCCTCTTCTCTTCTTTTCCTTATCTCTCCTCTCCTTTCGTCATCTCATTACATCTCCTCTCATCTTCTCTCCCCCCCTCTCCTCTCTTCTTCGTATTCTTTCCTCCCGTCTTGTCTGCACTCCTCTATTCTCCTATCCTATTCATCTCTAATTTGTCTCCTCTCCTCTTCCTTTCTTCTCCTCTCCCATTCCTCTCTAATTCGTCTCCTCTCCTCTTCCTCTCCTCTTCCTCTCCTCTCTCAGGTGGCTCTGTGGGCTATAGCCTACTCCCTCATCATCCTAGTTTCCATCACTGGCAATGTAACAGTGATCTGGATTATTCTTGCTCACAGGCGCATGAGGACCGTCACCAACTACTTTATCGTCAACCTGGCCTTCTCTGATGTTTCCATGGCAACCTTTAACACTCTTTTTAACTTTGTCTATGCGCTTCACAACGACTGGTACTTTGGCCTAGGCTATTGCCGGTTTCAGAACTTCTTCCCCATCACGGCCATGTTTTCATCAATATACTCGATGGCTGCCATCGCAGTGGACAGGTAAGAAAGCTTGACTGCCCACTTGACTGCTACATATACTCTATCTGTGACATATTGATGTTCTTCTTCTCTATGGATTTTAGTTATGGTGAATAAATGTGCTTAACACACTGGTTGATGAGTATAAAATACCCTGAAAAACTACTCGTACGACCACATTTTGGTCTTTAATGGCAGATACAGGCTGGCCTTACAATATGTTTCATCAGTTAATTCTTCACTGCAGTTCTTTTTCAGTCAGGGGTTTGTCATTTGAGGTTGAATACTGATATCATTTGACACCAGCAGCAGCAGAAACTGTTCCCCAAAGTTCAGAGGAAAATGCTGCAAGAAGGAGATATGGGTCAACAAGCAGCAGAGATACAGATGTCATTAATGCGTAGTGGAGCATGAATGGTCAGTCTGTTTAGTCTTTAATCTGATACTGCGCTTAATATACATAACATATGCCATATGCTAGGATCAGACCAGGTGTTACATCTACTTATAGATCAATAATTCCTCCTCAGTACTTTCCAATTTCGTGAAATCGTCAGTTTTTGTTATTTTATTCAGACGTTTTCTTTGTTGTCAACAGCTGCAGCAGCAAGCAGAAGACACTTAATCACACGTTAAACATATAAACTGTGGAACATAATCTGCATTTGTAAGATGATTCTCTGTCACCTCCACTTTGCAGCAACAATCCTAAAAGTTTTACCTTTACAGGTGAGTCTGACGTTACCTGCGCCAACCAAAACAGATTTAAGAGCAAACTGAAAATGAAGAGAAAGAGATAAATAAAGAGAGTTAAAGTTAAAGCAAAACCTGAGAGTGTGGTGTTTTACAAAACAGAGCCAGAATAACTAATTACATGAAAAAACATTCTCTCTTATTTTTAGATTATTTGTGTCATTTGCAGTTTAATATTTCTGCTCACACTTTAGGGTTCACTAACAAGATCCAGATGACAAGTTTACATTTTTTAAAATTTTCATTTATGCTCCACTGACTGCAACACATTAAAATAAAAAATGTAAATTAAATAGTATCTTTTAATGAAAATAAATTTATGCAAGATCCCACAGGTTTTATCTATAAAGCTAAAAAGGAGGGTTAAATATAGCATAAACCATTTAAATACATTCACACTGTTGGTCGTGAATAATTCAAATGAATGGTTCATAGTCAGAGTTATCATTTGATTATGATGGTGATACAAATGAGTATAACTGTACTGAACATGGCTGTCAGTGGACAGACGGGCTGATACACCAGAGTGCAATGTTTCTCTTCAATATAGTACATTTTACATCTTCATGCATAAAGGTATTTGTTCTTGCACATCAGATATGCAAATACACACAGTAGCTTTCGTCTATGATCAGTGAAATTGCATATAAATGTTCAGAGAGTCTTCACTGTTAATACATCTGTTTCATTATTCAGTTAGTCAGGTCAGACAAAAGCATTCTTCTGATGCCATACAATTAATATGACAGATATACATAAGATATATGTTAAGCTTGATGATAAATGGCAATCACTATACTCTTTGTCAGTAAATTGAGTTTAGTTGTGCAGGGAGGAATGCCATTTTTAGTACTTTGGCAGAAGGCCAGGAAATAAGACCTCTCTTTCATTAAGCTGATCGCTTTCGCTAAAGCACATATCAAGTCGACAGAATCAGTTTAGTCTTTTTATTAACATTTCACTCAAAGTCAGGTCTTCAATTTTCAAGTGAAAGCACAAGTTGATTTAAAGGGGATGGAGGTTTTAAATTACAGGATATTTAGATCACAAAGCTTTTTAGTTTGAGAACTACATGTTGTCAGGATGATGGATGACAAGGAGAGGCAACACATGGAACAACATATTAACTACACATCCTTCAAACTAGTATTTAATATAAAGAGTGACGAGATATAAAATCATTATTTCACAGCTTGATGAATGAGTGGGTGGATTTTCTAATAAAGAGAAAGCAATACTTTGAACAATCTGTGACACAGATGCCCACTTACAGAAGATCCTTTATAGAGTCACTCTGGTTCCTGTGAGTTAAACATCAGATTTCTGTGTAAAAGATATGAATGAATAAACCTTTTATGTTCTTCCAGGTACATGGCTATCATCCACCCTCTGAAGCCCCGCCTCTCCTCCACCTCCACAAAGGTTGTGATTGCCCTGATATGGATCGTAGCGATACTACTGGCTTTCCCTCAGTGCTACTACAGCGTGACAATTTTTTACTACCCCAGAACCGTGTGCATGGTCGACTGGCCTGACGACTATGGAGGAACACATCAACTAAGGTGAAAGAACAAACTTGATGATAAAAAACACAGACAGTGGCATCTGTCATATAAAACAACAAATAATTAAGATAGTGTCTGTATTGATTCACTCACTGCTAAGGGATTTATATGGGGACACTAATGCAAATCAGTACACAAGAAGTTATTGTAATAAACATTTCTAAAAATCTAGAACTGTGAGCATTATGAGCATGGTGCAGACAAATGGTTTGTCTTCGCACCCTCTGTACGAAAAACATCTGGACCAAAATGTATTTACTCATGACTTACCAGCAGTTGTAATCACAGGCTTTTTATTGACTTTTATAAATGGTTATGATTTGATTTTCTTATTTAAGCTATCTTCACCTTTAAATGTTGGTAATGTATGTCGACAAAGGATAAATATCAACCAGAGGAAGCCTGCAAAAAGTGAGCTTTCAGAAGTTCACAACATCTGAAACTATTGAACAATCAGATTCTCTTTCTCTCCCTCTGCAGTTACCAGTTTGCAGTGATATTGCTGATCTACCTGCTCCCTCTACTGGTGATGCTGGTGACTTACAGTTTCGTCGGCAGATCGCTATGGGGTGGGCACATCCCTGGAGAGGCGACAGACCACTACCACAGCCAGATAACAGCCAAGAGAAAGGTCACACACTTTCAACATTCTACTGTTGTAAACTATAAGTTTGGGCTTTTGACGCGTCACTGCTGAACTGAACTAGGAATTTAAAATATGGCAACATTGACTTAGTTTTCGTCTCGCTGTGATTTCTGATAGGTGGTGAAGATGATGGTTGTCGTTGTGGTGACCTTTGCCCTTTGCTGGTTGCCCTACCACATCTACTTCATATTGGGATCATTTAACAGAGACATTTATAAACAACATTACATCCAACAGGTTAGCAGCTGCTCTTCTGTCATTAATTCTCTTTAGTCTGACGTATTTATTTACTGGGGCATCATATTTACTCTCTTTTTCAGGTGTATCTGGCCATATTCTGGTTGGCGATGAGTTCGACTATGTACAATCCCATCATCTACTGCTGTCTAAACCAAAGGTAAAAGATATACTCACACACAGAAACTCCTCAGGTTCCAGTATCCTAAAACTCGAAGCAGAAAATCAATTCTCTTGCCTTTCCTGCAGGTTTCGTGCTGGTTTCCGCCATGCGTTTGCGTGGTGTCCCTTCATCAAAGTGTCGGAGGAGGACAGGATGGAGCTGCGGCAGACCCACACTTTCAGAGTCACCATGACACGCAGCCACCGCAAAGACAGTGCATACATACACACCTCCATCAAAGCAAACAACACCTTCGACGCAAAAGTGTCTGTCAACACTGAGCTAAACACAGAGAGAGATGCTTGCATGCAGCTTAAAAAACAGACACCAACAAAAACATACAGTGTACACAACACACGTGCAGAGAAGAGGCCGGAAGATACAAACTCCCCAGCTGCCAAACTTATGCAGCACAACCATTGACGATTGAATCAAATCATGATGAGGACATCGATGTCAAGGTAACAGGGTTTGTCTATAGCAACAGAGCTGATAATAAATAGACTGCAGCCAATAAAGACAGAGGAGATCCTGCCGACAGAGTTGAGCAAACTATGGTGACATTCATCATCGTGGAAAACCTTATAGTAAAGAGTTGTTCATTGGACCTGGCTTGGGACCAATAACTTTTTTGTAAAAGAGGAATGTAAATAAATGTGACTATCAAGCTGATGGTCATAAGCATGTGAAAATATAGTTATATATGCAGTTAGAACACTTGCATACTGGACAACAAGGGAGGCTTATTGTTGCATTAAGTCTGTCATTACTTTTACTGAAGCCCGTTCACCCTCCTGCTCCCTCTATCATCTACACTCTTTCTTTCATCACTGACTTTTTACTAACTTTTTCTCTACTTTTGAGAAAAAACTGTGGATATTTTTGTGTATGTAGTTACTGGTTTTCAACAGCATGGAATGGATGAACAGTCTACTGGCATCAGCACCAAGCCTTAATCATTTTGTTTTCATCTTTTTATTGCCCCAGACATGGGACTTAAAAAAAAGGCCTTTTCTCATGGGGACCATTTCTATTTAATTTCTTCACCAATCAATTTTGAATGCTGAATATACTGTATATATAAGTTAAGCAGATCAGTTCATGTAGTTTTGTCTGAGGAGCTCTGTGGTGTAAATTCAGCAGTTAAAGGAACTGTGTGTAGGATTTAGGGGATTTGTTGGCAAAAATTGAATATTCCCAACTATGTTTTCATTAGTGTATGACCTGAAACTAAGAATTGTTGTGTTTGTTACCTTAAAATGAGTTCTTCATAGAGAGCGCCGGGTCCTCTTCATGGAGTCTGCCGCCATGTTGCACAAAAACCATGTCACCACCACGAAATCCTATACAATGCTCCTTTAAGGATTTATGAAAATACAAATGTGACTGCTTTTAAAACTGAAATTAAGTCAACTTAAAGTTTAATTCCATCCTCATCTAATATACACAGAATTAGCTATTCATACTTTACACAAGATGTAACATGCACAAAGTAAAATATAGCCTCTGCATTTAACTCCTGGTATTATGAGCAGTGGGCAGCTACTATACAGCACCCTGTAAACAAAGACTCAGTTGCAGTGAGGGGACCACCTCCTGTGTCGAACATAAATACAACATCTACATTGACATTAACTGATTATTATCCATTTTAAAAGGAAAATTGACCTTATTTTATAGACTTTGCTGGATCTCCCTCGTCATTAGTTACATGAGCACGGACCTGTTACTGCACAGTACTAAATCTGTCACATGGTGTGCATTCATTCATCACGTTGCTCATATATTGTGACTTCACTGGTTCATACGACTGTATGTATTATGGTCAGTGTACAGTAGAGTCCAGATTAAAAAGTCAAAGTGCTGCTACTTAGAAGAATGTGATGTAAAATGTAATCTATTGAGTATATCAATGTTAAACATGCAGATGACATGGAAATTGAAATATGGGACTTATCCAGTAGGATCATGATGTTGTAAATACTGTAGCCTGTTGGCATCGACATTTGAGAATGTATAGAAAATCTTTTGATTCCTTGAAATAACTTTTGACTTTTTAAACACACACAATGACAAAGTGAAACGTCTGTATTGGTTGTTGACAAAAAAAGCAGGGTAGTTGTTGGCCTAAATAACCGTTAATAATGTTTAATAAATGTGACAGTATATGTACGTGTTGTCAGTTGTCTTTTACACATTGCAACAATTATTACAGAGGGGAGGTCATGTGCTGCAGTACAGCAAGCAGGAGCTAGTGCAGATTCAATGTTTTGCTAAAGGACACTTCAGAAGGCCTGAGGTGGACTGAGCTTATGTTCCTATTGAACAGTGACCTCTGAACACACCAACACCACCATTAAACAAAATCTGCAAAAAACTACAACTCTGGATTGACACAGGTTTGTCTTTATTTAGTGACTGGTTGATTAACACTGTTGGACAGATACAGTCTGGGTTTTATGAACAGAAGAACAGAGTTTAAAGTGTCTGTATGATGTGGGGCTGGCTTATAGACATGTATACTACTTTGGGTAACATCTGAAGGCAGAGTAGTTCAGGACCTGCAGTAGAGGCTGTCCCTCTTCATCTAGCCCTCTTCATCATGGCAGCAAACTTAGTTGTTGCAGGTTTGGATTGTGCTAATCTGTCGCTAGCCAGAATTTTAACTGTGGTTAACAAATATGGCTGTAAAACGTAGCATCTCACATCGCTGCACCACAACTGCCAATGTTACCTTTTAACTACATTACAATAAATATTCGCCTTTGCATGAATTGTGCTACTTGAATAAGCCTTACAGTAGTTCACTTAAACAACCTCCTGAGTTTTTAAGGGCATATGGAGTACAGTGAATGAGTACAGGGAGAAGTTTTATTTCCAAAATGTTTAAATTCTCCTTAAAGTTTCAGCTACTGTAATATTATTCTTATCCCCAGTTTGGCCATTGTTGTTCCAATGGCATCTATGTTAGCACCGCATGTCTGTATCATGGCTGTTGCCAAGTAAGTTGACGATGAGGGTAGCCAGCACAAACAGGATTTCTAGTTAGTATACAAGTGCACATTAGAGTAGAATAGTATTGCTGTCATGAATTAGTCCAAATCTGCACATTTAGCAAGCATGTCATGACATCTCCTGCATGGGTGACGTCCCTCTTTAGTCACCTTTCTGCCCTGACGTGGTTTATTAAATCCTCCGCTACGGGACAGGTGATGGCTGTGGGGGCTTTCAAGGTGAATTCCCTTGTGAGCCGCATTATTGCAACAGCAATATTTTTCAACATCGCCCAATACAAAAATAAAATAAATAGCAACAATGCATGTATAACATATTGTATCATATCCGGGTAAGATATTACAAATTTTAAAGCAAAAATATTCCCTTTCATCGCATTACACATTCATGTTTAACCTCATATCCCTTTTACATCTTGTTGTAGAGACAGTCGGTATACTGTAGCAGACAGCAGACACACTTTGGAAACTTTGGTCTAAAGCTGTGTTTTTATGTCCCTGTATTTACTGAACATGTTTCAAGGATAACCATTTCTCTGCAATGCTTTTGGAAATTATCTTTCAACTATATTGTACTTGGTACATTGTAATCAGAGGGCTCCTCCATATGGCGATGATAAACTGCTCATGTGTGGACTCTTTGTTATCTGCCCTGTACATTTTTCTACAGGAGTTGAATGTGCATGTGTTATCTATATAGATACATTTAACCTAACAACCAACAATGTTAAGAGTCTGGGTATTATTTCAATGGATATTAAAAGATAATACAACTACAACACAGTGCCTGACTCTCTGCTCACAGCAGAGAAAGCTATCTCCTTCTCTGTGGGTCATGTAGATGAGCTAAAGCAGCTACAGGAGCGTAATAGGTTGACTGGACTGGTTGGCTTCAGGAGGACAGGAGACAGAGGGAAAAAACAGAGGGGAGGAGAGAGGAGAAACTCAGAAAAGTGGGGCGATAACAGCGAGACAGAAGAGATATTTTTTCTATTTGCTGTTCAGCTCCTGTCTCAGGCGGCAGCCCACCGCTGTGATGAGGGCAGCTCCTTTCCCACTGCCGTCCTCTGACAGCAGGAAGTTGACGTTACACTGAGGAGCCAGTTCATTTACTGTCTGGTGCATGATCTTAGAGAAACTAGACAGAGACAAAAGATTTGACAACATGTTAAACAGTGAAGTGATGAAGATTGTACCAAATAGGAAAAAGAGACAGTTTGGCTCTAAAATGACAGTGAGTGAGAGCAGCATGTTACATGTTTGACAAGTTAAACAACAACTTTCAGGTTTCAGAAAGCCAGTAAGACCTGTCTGAATAGAGGGACAGACTCTTTTGGTTGTTAGCCTCGCATGAATGATATTGCCAATGATGGTAAAATTATAGTATTATAGTATAGTATTATCTGCACACATATTACTCACTTACTAAACATCTACTCATTGTTGCATTATTTGACATGACATTAAATCAGACCAACAGCTCAGGAAACATTTTGTTTTACTATGTACATGAAGTATGAAAATGGCAAAAAAATATACCGTTATCAGTTGGGATTATTCAAAGATATATAACTGAACAGTCTGATGGGACTTCCTCCCATTCTGTAGTTTCTCTTTTTAGATTTAGACAAGCTGTTATAGAGCCTCAACAACAACACAGAGTTACATTTCTCATTAAATGGCTGGGAAAGAAAACTGGCATGACTATAATTAAAAAGGAGCAAACACGGACACTTATTTGTCGAGCTGAAATGGCCTGCAGCTCATCATTGTTGAGCCTGGGTGTGTTCGCATTTGCTCGTCTGTTGCCGAGCAATTTCCACACCCAGGGATGACAAATACAGTAAATTTGGTAAACAAGTGTCTAAACAAGTCCTTCAGACAAGTCAATTTACCACATGACTGAATGGCCTGGTTTCCATATTTTACATCCTATCTCTGTTTCTTAGACACTTGAGTGGACAGTGAATAGTTTTTCTGCTTCTGATGAATCAACTCACTGTGGATGTAGTTTGTAGAGTGTCCCGTCCACCCCTACAGTGATGTTCAGATGGTCCAGTCCTCGGTTCTCTCTGATCTTATCGACCACAGCCGCCATTCCTGCCCCACATAGTTGAGCTGCACGGCATGACACTGCCCCACATACCTGTATAACAAAGAAAACCATTATCGTTACTGCAACACTTAACAGACTGTTGGTGCCACAGTTTGCTGAGCCAGAAAATATCATATCACTCCACAAACATTGGAAATAAATCTTAACACGTCTATTTCTGTTGACACTTGTATGGTCACATACGGTATGCCTGCCTCTTTCACAAGACAAGCGTGATAACAATGTATTGTGGCACTCAGATTCGTCACAGTGTCCACTGTCTATACTCAGCTGCCAGTTTATTAAGTACACCTAGCTAAAACAAATGCAGTCTAATAAAACATGCTTTCATGAAGGTTGTAATGTTCATCTGTGTTGAAACTGTTTTAGAAAGGTGTTGATTTACCTGTAAGGTCAGTTTAGAGATATGGTATGTATGTGTATGTGTGACCAATAAACTGGCAACTGGGTGTTTATTCTGTCCATACTCCATCTGAGGTGCAATAAGGGTCATGAGTTTGTGATAACTTGAGACTGGATAGATACTAAACATTCTTGCGGGCTACCGTTTTAAAATTCAAAAAACATATTATAATATAATGTTTTGTTATGCGTACACATATGTATCTCGCTATACCTTACCTCTTTAACGATGATACTGTCATCACAGGTGCTGTCCAGCCCTAAGTGTTGCAGGATGGATCTTACTTGCAGCAAAGCCAATCTGTCACTGGAGAAAGACAAAGACATAAAGACTGAGCCATGAGCAAAAGAGAAGTTTAACTCAATTCAAGAACAACTTCAAAAAGGAAAAGAACACGAGCAGCCAAACAGTGAAATAAGAAAAGAGAATTAGTTGCAAATACTGTTCTACAAACGGTGCTAATGAGCTGCAATCTACTGGGACTGATGTCGTCACTTTCACAACGTGGCCAGATGCGAGACAAAAGTTCAGATTACTTTTTGCCTCCTTGAGTGGACACAAACAAAGTGCTCATTATTCTTACCTCTCTATCTGTGAGAGGAACTTTGTCTCGAAGATGCCTCTGGTCTTCAGCGTTTCAGAAATCTGTCCTCTGAACAAGAATCCTCTCTTGGTCATATCTATTAGGATGTTTCGCACAATTTCGCCAAGATACATGCCGCTGCACATTTTCTCATATCTGTTAAAACACATACAAGCACAAAACATGCACATGAATCCACACATATTAGAAGTAATTTATAAGGGTATGAGTCCATGAAATAAAGGGTTTCTGTCTTAATAAGCATGGACATAACGTGTGTGTGTGTGTGTGTGTGTGTGTGTGTGTGTGTGTGTGTGTGTGATGGGGATTTTAACCTTTGTTTGCCAGAATTGAGGGAGAAGTCATCCACAGCGCGGTCATACTCTGTCCTAATGTCGTCAAGACATCCGTTGTCTCCGAAAGCCCCCCACTCCATGTTGACACACATCCGACCCTCATCTCCATCTATCATCTCAATGTTCCTCATCTCCTCAATGTAACATGCATTGCTACCAGTGCCTATAATGAGATCGACACGTTAGATGGATAGCGAACCGAAAACTGAGTATTTATCAAAAAAAGAGTGAATATAAGGTAAACTAACCAGCAATGAGTCCAATCTCACAGGTGGGTTCTTCGTAGGCACAGGTCATCATGGTTCCCACTGTGTCGTTCACTACGGCCACAACATCCAGTTCAAATTCCTAAAGAAGCGACACGTGATATGATGCAACTTCACAGTCCACACAGATGTTTAACTGAATGATGCTGCTCCTCATATCCTACCTCTCTCCTCTTGATGGCCTCCCTCAACAGACCCACCACATCTTCTCCTTCACAGTCTGTCGCCTTGAAGCCCTTGGTCCATGTCACCAGGATGCCCTGCGCGCACAAACACACACACACAGTTAAAGATTGTCATATTTTGCATAGGAAACGAGGATTTCATGGTCTGCTCAGGGCTCAGAAAACTCTATTTTTGGGCTCATGAAACACAGTGTTGCTAAATGCTTAAAAAGAAAACAGTGGTTTGGATTTTCCTCTTGACGCTGGTAATATGAGTGTTTATCAGTGGACCCATTTTGCAGACGCAGCTGTTTTAAGACTCTCAGGGAAGAAAGAGGCAGTTCAGCATCAGAGAGGAAGGAAGAGCTGTACACTCACAGCGTCCAGGCTGGTCTGTCGGCAGGGGAACGAGAAGGTGAAGCCCAGAGGAAGACGGGTGTTCTTCATCCCCATGTAGTCCAGGAAGTCACTGATACACTGCACAATGTGATCAAACAACTGGAAGAAAAAATATATGACAATATATGAAACTACATTATTTATTGATTAAAAAAAAATCCATTTTGAGTTTCCAGTGATCATCCTTTGAATGATAAACTTCAATACTGATTACTCGCCAGATTAATCAGATTAGATCTTTCTGGGAATACAGTATCAACAAAAATAAGTAAGCATAGAATTTTAAAAAGTAATACTCCCTTTGGGCTTTGATGGGTTTTATAAAACACATTAATGAAATGACTGTAGATGCAGCCTTATAATTTACATATTTTAGAGGTTTAATTATACACAGCTGTTATATAATTTGACTGGTCTGCAGGCAGTACAGACCCGTGACTGGGAAAGGTGGAATTTAGTGGACCACTGTTAAATCTGTTGTTCATGTGTGTCACATACGTAACCAGGCCAGTTAATTCATATATCCAGCAGTGCTCTAGAGTAGTTGTTATCACACAGACACAATGCTGACTGACAAGTTTTCCAACAGTCCTTTAACACTGACCATTATTATTATTAAGCAGGTAATCAACACTGAATCTGATAAGAAAAGTGCTGCTCCACTGATCAGTATGGATTAAGCCTTTTAGGCATATAGTACTTCTGATCACACCCCAATCTGTTTTTCAGTTATGTCACAGAAGATATTTTTCCCTGGACGGCTAATGAATAAACACATGTTACGAGATCACAGACATATGCTTGACTTTTAACTTGATGCATTGTGAAATAATTTGTCCTGTACATAGAATATAGTGGATCTTATCTGACAACACTACCACTTGGAGGACACTATATACTGGAACATATAGTATATAGTGAACAATTTTGGACACATAATTGCAGAGGTATGGAGTCCCAAGTGACTTCACTTGGACTTGAGCCTTATGACTTGAAAATACTTAACTTTCCCCAAAGCCCAAAGATGAAAAAGCATGTTATTTAAAAAGTGCCACACGAAATCATGCTGCAAAATCAACTGACGCTCAGTTGGGTAATTTTAGATTTTTCATGGTTCTCTCCTGCATCTTGATTGGATGTTGTCGGAAAATAGATCTGGTGTATTAACCAGATATGTCCCTTCATTCAACTAATGTTAATGCTATTCATTCAAAGCAGGTAGACACTTAATACACCAGATACAAGTTAAAAAGATAAAGGTGTGAGTTGTCCCATAGAGGAGAGGGCACTTGGGTCTTGAGCCGACTCTAATTAGGCAAAATAAATGAAAAACCTGCGATATTACAATAAACTATTGCCGTTTCTATACCGACTTTCTTGTTTTGTGTACCCAAGGGTAGGGTTGGGTGATAATTAAATATATCTTCCAATGGAATCGTGTTGGAATCATATATCGATAAATTATGATACAATTACATCATCGGAATTGATTAAAACAAGCACACACTTAATCTAATTTCTCAGAAAAGCGGATCATTTTGCACTTAAAATCCTAATACAATGAGAAAATAGAGTACTTTTCAAGTATTAATACACACAAAATATAAAAAATAGGGATTACCATGTGGTTATTTCATATAGACAGTTAATTTATTCAAAGTATTACCAGAAAAATGCTATATTTTGAGATATATATCGTTATCGAGACTTTGGCCATATCACCACACCCTATTTTAGGGGGAAGAGAAACACGTGGAGGAGTGAAATGAGGACGAAAAAGCCAAAGGGGACAGACAGGATTAGCCTCAGCCAGTGAACAAGTTCAAATCTACGTTTAAAAGACGGTCGACTCAATGCTAATCTTGAAAAAGTCTTCCTCTAACCTATCGACCTTCTTCTCTGCATGCCTCTATCCTATCTACTTACCACTGAGTGTCACATCCCTGACCACCTACCGAGCTACGCTGATCTTTACGGTACCAACAAGCTAACAGGAGGTTAAGTTCAGCGTTTCTCAACCACCCCTCTGACTTTCGGTGGAATGCATTGTCTGCATCACTTTCGTCCATTTGACACAGATTAACGGGTCAAATGGCTGATGGATCTCACCTCCTCTCCCGTGCCCTGCATCACTTCTAAAGGAATAGAGTAGATCTTGTTGTGCATCTCCACTGTTCTCCTCTTGCCAGAGCGAATCTTCACTAAAAGAACTCTGAAGTTGGTTCCTCCCAAATCTAAAGCCAGGAAATCGCCATGTTCTGAAAAACGAAGCAGGCAGACAAACAGATGAATACATTTAACAGCAACCAGAGACATGCCTTGTAAAATGCTGCAAAAGAATAGCTTAGGATGTCAATGTGAAAATCTAAATTCCTGTCTGCATTTTGGAGATGTATTTTCCATATTAGTCATAGACTAAAACTTGTGAGAAAACTTAGTTTACATGTTTGTTCATCCTCTACAATGTTACTGTTGTTTTTGTTTTTGGCCATGTTTGTATTCTATTAGCTCAGGTTTTAAATAGGGCCAATAGTGACATCAGTACAGTGTGTAAGGTATGTCAATAATGATTGCAGCTGCTCTCTCTTCCCAACAGACACATGTGCAGTCAAGTTGGCAGCTTGAATATGTATGTATGTATGCATATATGAATGAATGAATGAATGTATGGATATGGTTCTGTATGAGTGTGTGTGTGTGTGTGTGTCACCTGAGCCATCAGGAGTGCTGTATACAAAAGTTGGCAGCATTTTGACAGTAGCAGTTTCCTGAGTGCTCTTTGAAAGGCCATTTTGGATCTCTACCCTCATTCTCTTCTTTACCTGGAGGAATTTAGGAATATCTTCAATAGTGATGTAACACACAGTGAATGGTGCACACAAACACCCACACACACACACACAAATACAAACACTACTTTATCTCTCTGTCCTCACCTCCAGCAGTTGCTCTGTTGTCAGGCGGAATTCGGACAACGTTTGGGCAATTTCTCTTGAATGTTCAGCGAGTCGGTAGGCCACAGCTGTCACCATGGCTGCTCCTTTTCCACTGCCGCTCTCTGACAGGAGGAATCGAATATCAGCGTCCGGGACCAAACGACGGACTGTCTTATGAAGACGACGGGCATATCTGAAATACATACAAGAGAGTTTAAGTGCTGCACTTCCTCCAAACACCTGACAACAAATCGCAACTCCCCTTGATATCAAAAAAGTAATACAACATAAATGTAAATATCTTTAATCTAAATTTGACTTACTGTGGGTGCATCTTGTATAGCGATCCATCGATCCCGACAGTGGTTCGGAGTCGTGTCACGCCTTTGTTCTCCTTTAGCCTCAGCAGGATGCCTGCCAGCGTGGCAGCTATCAGGTTGGCAGAGCGGAAAGACACAATGGTACAAACCTGAAGGAGAGAAACTCATCAAGTAGCACATCTAAACTTAATGAACTGCAGAATAAGATGTACAATTTGGTTTTACTTGAACCCTTTTCAGATACTACAACATACTGTACATCTCAGATACATCATCATGTTTGCAATTACAAAAATCTAAAAAGAAATGCCCAAATTGTTTGTTTGTTTAAAATTACTACATTAAGCGGCATCTCTGAAAAGAGGGATTCACAAGATTCAAATGCTATTTCAGCAACAATACACACATGCTGCACAGCGATGCAGTCGTCATTTGAGGGCTCCACTCCAAGTCTGGTTAAAATCTCTCTGGCCTTGTTCAACCCCTCCTTACTCCTAAACAGGAAAGACAGGGAAGCAATGATGGGCTTTAAATATATATATATATATATCATCATTTAGAGTTTTGTTATGTAGTTTCAACTACCCAATTAAGAAAATGCACGTTATTTACATGAAGTGTGACTTACTTCTCTATGGCTGAGATTTGTTTGGTCTCAAACCTCCCTTTAGTGAGAAGCTCAGGGGTGATCCTTCCCTCGAACAGCAGGCCTTCTCTGGCCATCTTCACCAGGATTAGACGAACCAGCTCCCCCATGTACATACCACTGACCATCTTTTCAAATCTACACAGCGAAAGATAAAATGAGAGGTGGGCAACACAAACATAAATATTCAGATTTTTGGATTATTATCACTTTAACCTAATTACCAATTAATTACTGTTCTCTAATAGATAAAGATGTCACTAAATGAGTTTTTAGCAACTGGACCTTTTCTACCCATTTTCATTTCAGAAAGATAATTAAATATGCTGATTCAGGTGCTGCTATTCTCATGGTGAGGCTGTACAGACTTTGGCTCCCAGGTGGGTCAAAAAACAAGGGCAGAGAGCCAACGAAGACCACTGCCTTTATCTCGGCTAGTCATAGTAAGAGAGTGCAAAACGTCTTTAATAGGGGGGTTCTAGGGCGGTCCGTACTGCTCCTTACTGTGTCAAATATTTTCACACCTTTTACAGCCCACATTTTAGAGGGGAAATTGTAACTATCCATAGCAGTGATAAAATGTACATTATCACTGAATGAGTATTATTGTGTTTATTTTTATACTGTATGTGTATCGAAGAACCAAACCTAAAGGGTGGAAAATGGTACATGGACTGCATTTATGTAGCGCTCAACACACAAGCCAGCATTCACACACACATTCATAGATGCATACAAGCTCATCGGGAGCGATACATATTTACACTCAGGAAGGAATATGGAGTTCAGTATCTTGCCTAAGGACACTTTGAAATGTAGACTGTATGACCTTCCTAGTGAACGACCGCTCTACATTCTGAGGTATGTCATATTTTTGGTACCGCTGAAATTGCATGTGGCCCCAGCAGTGTAAACAGCTGACTGAGTCACTGACAGCTAATCATCAGTCGATTCCGTGGTTCCTTCCCAGCTTAAAAAGATGAACATGAACAAGACTGGAATAAAAACTGTAACTGTAACAGTTTTGGTTTGACGTACAGCTGTTTGCCGGGGTTGAGGGAGCCTCGATCTATCTCTCTGTCAAACTCTGTCCTGATGTCCTCCAGCCTGCCGTCGTCTCCGAAGGCTCCCCACTCAGTGTTCACACACATCCTGCCCTCGTCTCCCTCCACCAGGTCAATGTGGCGCAGCTCCTCCATGTAGCACGCATTGGTGCCCGTACCTAATCAAAGAGAAATACGTGCATTCTTACAGTTTAATCTCATTTATATTCTGCTTCTTGGATTGGAGTACTGAATTCCATTTTACTCGAACATTGCCAACCAAACTCTTGACTATTCTAATACCGTACCGATGATAATGCCAACTTCACAGCGTTGGTCATCGAAACCGCAAGTCATCATCGTTCCCACAGTGTCGTTCACTACTGCCATGATGTCAGCCTCATAGTCCTGAAACAAATTAAAGCAGATGCACGTTTGCTGTCATCTGTGCCATTCTACATCCCAGTTTGAATTAAACAAAACGCATATTAGGCTAAATAAGTTGATAACTTTGTCAAATGAGACAAAAGATAAGACTCACTCCTCGCTTCTTAATAGCTTTGTTGAGCAGTTTGACAACGTCCATTCCCTCCACTCCACTGGCCTTGAAAAGCTTTGTCCATGTTATCAGAAAGCCCTGAATACAACAGAGAGGGAGAGACAGAAGTGAGAAAATAGAAGAGACAGATGTGATACTTAATGGGGACTTGTTTTGTTGGTCAGAGCCTGGCACACACAATATTGTGGATCAGGTCTCCATTAAACCTGTGGTAACTCATAATGCAAATTGACTGCATGTATAATCATCACATATTTCACTAAAAGATAATAATACATGGAAAGTGTCGTGTGTCACAAAGAAGTCTACTACAGCAACATCATTAAAAAAGAAGAAAAGTGTTTCACCTCATCTAGTTTAGTCTGCTGGCAGGGGAAGGAGAAGGTAAACCCAACTGGGAGTTTCTTGTCTTTGATGCTGTGCTTTTCCATGAAGTCACCGAGACACTCTGCAACATGGTCGAACAGCTGGAACAGAGGTGGAGAGAGTGAGAGGTTGTCTCAGTTTGAGCTGAAGAGACTCTGTGTGTGTGTGTGTGTGTGTGTGTGTGTGTATTTCAGTATAAACCTACTCTTGTTCCGCTGCCGTGAATGATGTCTTCTGGGGTGTCATAGATCTGACTCTCCATCTGAACGGTCTGTTTCTTCTCATGGCTCACTCTGACGCGGAGGATCCTGAAGTTACTGCCACCCAAATCCAACGCAATGAAGTCTCCCTTCTCTGTCGAGACAGAAAAAGTGGGAAGATGAGGGAGACGCAAAAATAGAAAGAGAGACAGAGAGGGGGATGAATGTCATTTTGCAGTTGGGGACATAAGAAAGGGTTGTTGACATTCACTTAAGAACACAGATTTAATTACAACGGCCAGATACTTGAAGACACGCATTAACAGTACGTCTCCGTTGTGTCAGCTTGGCAAACAAACACAGCTCTCACTATTACTGTACAGTGAATTAATGTCACACAATGTGTGGTCTATAAGCAACATGGAAGAAGCAATGTATGGAAAGATAAAGCTGTTTCAGAAGTTATGTCTCGTCTTTGGGCTAAAGCTGTCACCTATCAACTCGTACAAATACAATATAGAAGTCAGTAAGTAAATACAAAGGAATTAAGGTTTGCAGTGTATGTTTTTAGATGCATTCATTTTGTGTTTGTCCGTGTATGCTGGTGTGTATACTGTAGGTTTGCCTAAACCTTCTCTGCCAGATTAACTTCCCATTTATCTTACTTGAACAGCCTTCCAGAGGAGGACATTTTAAAAGATTAACTAAAAACCCATCTATTTAGTCTGTTTTTATGTAGTATAATATTTTGGTTTATTATTTGTACGTATTCTTGTTTCTATATCTATGTTTCATGGCAGCCTGGTCAAGAATGTGCATGAATAAATACTAGTGTGTTAATATGTTAGAAAATATCATGGTGGCAGAGAGAAACCTCCGTTGTGTAGGAAGGATGCCATGTTGCTCTTAATGGTTTCTACGCTCTGTGATTAGTTCAATCGCATGAAACGCTGGTGTATATTTAGTCCATGGTCACTTGGCAGTAAGAAGTGACTGTAGTTTATCGTTTGTTTAAATTGGGAACATAATTGGTTTAAAACCTTCTGATAGAGATCTTACTGCCCTTTGACAAGGGGTGATAAAGCAGGCAGTAACTCATTGCAAACACAGCCTGTTCCCTTCTTATTACGGTGTTTCCATCCAATTCTTATTCCTTGGTAATCCAGTACCAAATCAAACTGCACTCTTCACCTTAAGTAGATCCATTTAGAAGGTATTAACAAGATTACCTAAACATCAGTTAATGCTTGGTGTTGCTGCCGCTGAGAGAGTAGAGAGCCCATTTATTTTTATATCAACTAAGTCGTCCAGTCTAAACAGGCCTTATTCAAATTGTTGGAAATGCTAATTGTAGACAGTGATTAAAAATGTTATGTTGATTCTGAGTAAAGGTTCCAATAGTATCAGAAATGCTTTTTCACATTACTGTGATTGTGTCCCACAACTTTTTGTGCAGATCAGAATGCAAGGTCAGCTCAGTGGTGCAGACTGACTGATAATGTATCTGTAAGGAACGTAAACACAACAGACGCCAGTCGGTAAAAAGCAGTCATGGTTTGTTTTATGACAAAATATTTTCTAATAATTTTAAATTCTCTTCTGGTCAGGAGCAGTGAGAGCAGAGCAATGGAATAACACTGTCACTGTCTTCTATGGATGTTTATTGATATCTGTGCACATTTGACAAAAGATTTGATAATGAAACATGTTGTAGTGGCTCACAGTAAGAAGATGCCGAGACATTTCCTGTCTTTATCAGTGATTTATCAGATTAGATTTATTATTAAAACACAGACTAATTCATGCTCTCTATGCTCTTCTGCTCGCTTTTTGATTTACAGTAACACTGAAGAGAGATATGAGAAAGTAAGAGGATTAAGTGTACATCAGCTACTAGTAAAAATACATTTTTCACCGTATCATTTGTATTTCTTGAAAAAAAAAAAAAGAACACAAACATATTATTTTGTAATATAATTTAGACTTAACGTATTATGTTCAACCATTTGAAACATTAAGACTTTGACTTTCATTGTCACTGTCTTCTCTAACAATGGCAGCAGGATTAGTGCTAATCTCTGATCTCTCTGTGTGTGTGTGTGTGTGTGTGTTATTCATCTGACAAAGATAATACAATCTGTACCTCAGTCCGAGTACAGACACTTTCTTCCCAAAGTACAAGAAATCAACAAATTCTGACACACATTCATCTGAGTTACAAGGGCAGAACGTCTGCAGTAAATTAGGATTAGACAGCATGCAGCAGACAATGACATAATGACAAGGAAAGAGAAGATTTAAGTGCATTGTATAAGTCACTATACCAAAGACGAAACAGTAGCTTTGCCTTTTGAGTTTAGGTTAGATTCATGTAAGCAAGAGATCTACAGGGTGCCAGATGAGGAGTGAAAAGTACAGTATGATACTTTTTGTCACCCGACAAGAAAACATTTATCTGCATTACATACTAATCTATCAGCAAGGTTTTGTTTTTCAGAATTGTATTGTTGAACAGTTTCAATTGGTATCATCAATGGTCACAATTGATTCAGCTACTAATCTAATATAACACACTGTGGTGGTTCACACTGTTGACTCACAGCTAAAAGCCCCTTAGTTTGGATCACAGCACCACAACTGACTGTATAGAGTTTGCAAGTTCACCCTGTGTTATTGTCATTACATTTAGTTTCCTCCTACATGCCAAATACATGCAAGATCGGGTCAATCACTGGTGAACTACTCAATAGATTCTGCTATTAAGTGTCCCAGTATAAGCCACTCCAGTGAGCCAGCATGCACAATACCAGGGCCTCTCCTAAGTGGCATGCAGCTATCTTTAATGTTATTAAATACACCTGTGCTTGTCCTACTATGACATGTCAAAATGTTTGTCAAAAGGTCCACTGGCATGAACACAAACACACACCTACAAACTTGACCTTTATGCCATATTTCAGCCTCCAAAGGCAAAAACCGTGGCCGCCAAAGGGTGGGGAAATTTGTGTGGGCCAGCCGAACAACAGAGTGAGCTGTAGCTCTGTAGCTCTCTCTCTCTCTCCCTCTCTCTCTCTCTGACTACATAACTCAGTTTAATATATGTGTTTAGCACACCTGTGCAGATATCCCCTTTACCAGCTTGTATTTGTTGATATTTATACCATCTTAGTTAAGATTTAGCCACATGCAGCGGTGGTTATCAATATTGCGTATAGTAAAAATATTTTGAATACAACTCCACACAGACCTGAGTGGTGGCAAAATAGTGCCCTGTTGTGTCAATACCTTTTTTATTTAGAAAACAAAAAGTACAAATGCTGTAAAAAGCCAAGAAAGAGGACATGAAAATGATACATTTGTAAGTCATTTTGGTTGATAATTTTCTCTTCATATTGGACTGTGCAGCCTTAAGTTTGTTGTCACAGTGATAAAAGAGGCGAACTTGTTGTGTTACTGATTTCATTTAGGTGCTTGACTCGATGGAGTTCAGACAATCCAACCATGGTTAAAATCAGAGTTAGGGCCTACAAACCTGAGCCATCAGGGATTGACTGCACAAAAGTTGGCAGCATTTTCAACACAGCAGTGGGGTTCGTGTCCCGGCCCAGTCCTTTTACCAGCTCCCTCCGAAACCGCTGCGTGACTTCCTTTACCGTCTCATCAGAGTAACGCATGGAGTACAGGTACTTATCGATCTGAAAATAAACAACAGACAAAATAATAGAGACATTAATCTTCCTAATCTTACTATAATAATATCCATATGCCACATATCAACATTGATACTCACAGCACTATCCCCTTTGGTAATGACAGTGTTTTTTTATCTGTAACCATGATGATGCAGGAAACACAGTACAACTAACTCACCATCCATAATGTTTTTAGTCATCCATGACAATAATCCACTTCCTGAACTAATTGATCCCAGCTCTGTTTAACCCAGAAATGAATCAGAGCCACAAAACTACGTAACTGTTTATATTGCTTTAGTGCAAAGAAACTCTGGGCAGTTCTTTGATTCATACTGTGATCATATTGCACAGTCACTATCTCATGAAAACCACAGCTTCATCGGTTTGACACACAGCAACTCGTTCTGTGCTGTTATCAAGGCCTTCCTTGTGACTTTATTATGGGTATGACAATGATGAGGTCAAGAGAGACAGATGAGGTGTGCCTTAAAGAAATGATCAGCACATCTGGCACATACTGTAGATCTTGCTCACTCTGTAAACTGTCGCAGATACGGCACACAACAGCCTGAGCTGTTTGGCCTTTCAGGAACAGGATGTTAAAAAAATCCTGGTGAAATCCATCGTTGCATCACACGCTATAATGAAGCAAAGACCTACTTTATCCACAAGTGTTACACACAACGAGTCACTATGGTCAAATGTCATGTTCATTACGACTTGCTTTGTAAAATTACAGTGTAGTTGAGCGAGAGTTAACCCGATTATCATCAGTTTGTTTCATAACAATGACTACCAGAATATATGAGATTTATATTAAATATTAGTTCACACAAACATGCTCACATGACTCATTCACACACAAACAATGTTTGTATGCATCTGTGACGTCCATGTGATAATGTACTAGTTTTCCTCATTGTAGCGGACGTTAGATGGGAATGTTCTAACTTCCTGTTTTAGGAGTCACATATTCATTTCCTATACAGCTCCGGTCTCTGGTAACTGGTTCAGGACAATGCTAGTTTGGGTGTGAGTGTACTTAACATCTGCTGACCATAGAAATAGATTTAATTGAGAAAATGTGTGCCGACACTAAAGGACAAATACAGTGTTTTTGACATAAAGATTACAATCAGCAGATTTCTTTGAGCATAAAATCACATTTGGATTTTGTTGTCAGAAAATAAACACAAAAGACATCTATTCAAAATAAAAAAGATAAAGACAATCAATAAAATATACTCAGGCTTTGATATGAACATAGAGCATGTGACTTTTCTGCCATTGTAAGAGGTCAATTTTGCTTTTATCATACATTAAATGAGACCTAACATGTAGACAAACATTGATGACCTGCTGATTAACCATGCAGTCATGTTTAAATAGTATAAACAAGTTGTGGGTCAACATGGACAAAGAGTAACATACATGTGAACCGCACTGTCCAACTGCTAATGTGTTACATTCCCTATATTCTGGCTAAATGTGGAGTCTGCCTCTGCGATGAAAGCTCATTAGCACATGCTCTTGTTATACAGGAGCCCACAGCTGACTAAATGTGACCTCTCGCCTTCATAGAATCAGTAAAATACATTGTAAACCTGCTAGACAGTCCAGACACACCCTGAGCTGTATTTTACACTGAGGTCGAGTCGGTGGTTTGAAGAGATATTTTAACAGCACTGACATGTTGGTGCTTGACACTGCCCTCCTCTTTCGACACGACAGCGTGCCCTTTGCATCTGCTATTTCAATAATGCCATAAACACACACTCAAACAACCACATGTCTCTCCGCTCTCTTTCTATCACGATGCACACAGATACAGTACCTTCTACCTTTCACTACCACACACTAAATGCATTCAGAATGTGATAGTTTTTAGGTATTTAGAGTACAAAGACTAAACGGTTTAAAGTATGTGAAAGTCAACTTGGTAAACTAACATCCTGCTGAGTTGTCCTTATGTGACACTGTGCCCCTATGGTAATGCACCAAACAGGCTAAACAACACACAGCAGACACAGAGCCTGTTGCATTTGTATATGCAGTTTTGCATGTGGTGTGTTTGACCCAGGTCAGCTGAGGAAATGAAAGTAGAGTATGAGTTGGAGCTACTACACTACAAATATCTGCAGTGTCCACATAGAACTTCTCATCAAAGGTTTTTAAGTGATAAAAATGTAAACTTGTGGCTGAATAAGGAGTAGAGGTCCACAGTAAATAAGAAAGCTTTGGCTTTTCTCCCAACTTTTCATCGTCCTGTACTGACACACTTTAACACTTCTATTTATTCTTGATAATCACATTGGATATGCATCCCTGTAATGTGAAATGGTTGCCAGTACTGGTGATTCCATCGGGAATCAATATTCTAGTCTGCAGCTCTGTGCAGTCTGTACTTGTGGTTGAGTTCATACAGCTCCCTCCAAACCCTATTTGCTAAATGATGTGTCTGAGAAGCAGACAAACACTGAGGCCTGTATAGACCATCATCCAAGGTCACCACACCCTAAATTAATTCTGGAAAATAACACTTTTTTCTTTTACCTCCACAAGACAAACTTGAGCTGACTGAGTTTCGGAAATCTTTTCCATCATTATGTTTCATCACACATGAAGTTCCTGGATCTTAAAGGGTAACCCCACTGCTTCCACACATCATTGTCTGTTTATAGGTCTTGAGGACTGCTACTGCATATGTGAAACATTGTATAAAGACTTTTGTGTCTCCAGAAGGAACTGTGAGAAATCTGATGAATGGGGCTGGAGACTACAAGTTTGAGAATAAAAGGAAATCTGGATGTGTGGAGTTAGAAAGCTGTAGCCCAGTCCTCCTCATGTTTGAGACGAGAGGCTTGAAGCTACATTAGCCGCTACTACCATAACACACCTGAATCTCCAACCGAACTGTTGCATTGTGGGTGATGTAGGCAGAGGATTTTGACAAGAAGGAATAATTGCATTTTGATTGCCTCTGAACGACTCCTAACGCGTCGGCGGTGGGCCGGCGACTCATAGCTACTTTAGCTGACAGCGCTAACAGTGCAATCTACAGCGAAAGTGCTGACAGAGCCAACAGTGTGGGAACCAGAGGGTGGGTGCTACCAACAACGCTGTTGGTTGAGACGGCAATATCAATTGTAACAGCCGTATGAGAGCAGTGCAGAGCGGCGGCAATCAGCTAACCAGTGGAGCTCGCTCACATGCACGAACATGCACTTAAAGCAAGCGCAGCCGGCCCGGCTAGGTCAAGGGGAAACTCCGATGTCAACACACAGAGGGAGAGCGACTTCATTCTCTGCTCAGGTACACGATACTCCACTAATCTTTACATAACAAATATTTTGTGCTGCTATATTATCAATCAGAATGGTAAATACAGCTCCTTCAAGTAAATTTAGCCAGGTGTTTGCTAACATGTAAGTCAAAAACTTGAATGCGTTGATAAGCAGCATATAAAGGCTTGATGATTTAAAGTAGCCTGTACAAAGTACACAATTCTGATTGACCGTCTAGAAACAGATTTTCACCTCTGTGACTGAATGAATTAAGCATGGCAGTTTAGGGCAGGCCATGTGCACACCTCTAGATGTCAGTTGATGTAAATAGATCAATTCAGATTATTTAAGCAGCCAACCCATTCTGCACATGCCAACTGCTACTACACTACTGCTGCCTGTCAACACTGCTACGCATTAGTCTTAATAGATATATTCTCCCATCATCACCTGGCTCTTTCTGTTCTGGATTGTAATTAATTCCTATATTGGAAACTGTACGTTGAATTCTAAATGTGTTCTTAATCCGCTAGTTGTAGGAGAATGCATTTTTAGCTAGTCTAATTAAATCACAATGTGTTACTAGCTGACCAGGGGTGCTGGATTACAAAGGGGCTGATTAAAGGCATTGTACACGATTCTCCACATTGAACTACGAGAAAGCCACCGAACTCAGACTTAAATTCTTGCTGCAGATTAAAAATTTGCATCTATGACTCAGCACTCTGCAGCCAAAAACCATGCCTAAGCATTTTATTATAGCAGGGCATCATCTGATCTCACAGCTCCGATCGCTGCTGTGGATACTTGAATACAGAGAATACTGTGCACATGTATGATTCATCTTCATCAGATTTGTGAGGTTTTTTAACCAAAATAGGAGCTTCCACTTTTTCCACTAAAGTTGAGAAGAGTGACATTTCCTGAAAAGGTGAAATGAGGCCTCTGTGGTGTGTGAGTCTGTACGCATGCAACTATAAAGGCTGTGTTTTCCCCTCAATACACCTCTGACACAAGTTTCTCTGACTCTCTCTGAAGCCAAGATCACACACTCTGTGTCTCTCTGTGTCTCTTTTCTTCTTCTCCCTGTCTGCATTCCTCCTCTCAACAATGCCTCGCTCTCCTCGTCACGGCAACGTGGTTTAAAGAAGCACTGAAACCTGACTCTATTGTGTATGTACGTGTGCACGATGTTGTGCACACAGCCGTGCCATGTGGGAAAATACTGGCCTCTACCCCCCCCGCCCCCGTGCGCACTTTGGATGCCCGCTAACACTCCCACAGTGTATTAAAGAGTACAGTCAAGGACACTGCAGTGGACTGAGTGAAGTGGGGACACACTCAGCTGATTGCAGCTCTTTGTCAACTGCAGCTATACACAGTTTGTCTGAAACCACATTAGCGAATTGATTATCTGTAAACTTTCTCTTGTGGTTGCTTAAATCCTGACTGTATGTTTCACAACTAGAGAAGTTGATGTCGAGGTCCAGACAAACTCTGTTCTTCGAAAAGCTACACAATAGCCACACAACTGGCACAGTATGTTTGTGTGTGGGTGTATTTGTGTGTAAGCCTTCCTCCTGTCACCTGTGGTCACATGGTTCAAAGCTGACCTATTTTAGGGAGGCAGTGAGAGGAAGAGAGCAGGAGTAGAGAGGGAGGGAGATGTGTTGTATTACATCAGATCCTGGCAGCTGATAAATGTCTTTTACCTTTACGGATATAAATTTGTCACATCTGGGTAAGACAGCTTTGTCTTTCGCGTTGTGCAAATAAAGATTTAACCAAACTGAGAAAGTGGCTACAGACAGAGAGGGAAATGAAGGAAGGGGCATACAGGGAAAGGATCGGTGTTTGATGCAGAATCTACAGTTGGTGATGATGATGTGTGACATCATCAGAAAGCGACCTTAAAGGGACCCTGCACCATATAAATTTAAACACAATGTGATCAGGATATTACAACTAGTGAAGGTAAATATCTTAACAAGGACAAATAAGATGACACCAATGGGTCTGACAGTATTTTAACTTCCTCTGCCTCAGTTATACTTTATGGAACAGCATTAAATCAAAAAGTAAGGTGAATTGTTGTGGTCTGAGTGACTGGAAAACCTTAGTTCCTTTGCCACACACACACACACACACACACACACACACACACACACACACAGACACACCCACACACACACACTTCTTTGGGCAACCAAGACTGTTCTCGATAGTTTTATACCAGAAGTTGCACAGTGGAGGCTGCTCAGCTGAGAAGTTATGAAAGACACACATTCATGGCGCTGAACTCATGTCACTCTTCTCCGCTTTCCCCTTGAACTTTTTCCATATTCAATCCTACTTTAAAACCTACCAAAAGAAGCTACCAGTCATACTCATTTGTACTCAAATCAATCTTTTCTCTTTCATTTAAGGTAAACACAAAAGTGCAAGTATCATTTTAAACAGAACATGAAAGAAACTCGGGGACCCTTAAAATAACTTTGCTCTTTCTTGTAAACCTCCACCTTCTCTTCTCATCTGTCCTTTCATCATTGCCTCGATTGTTGCCACATCTCTAAAAATGGACGTCACGGCAACAATGGCACACCTGTGAGTCATGTCCTTACACATCTCACTACACAAACACACCCCTGTGCAGTTTGACACGTCTCGTTGAGCCAGGTCAATTTAAATCTTACAATAAAAACTAATTGTGAAACGACCACTGCACTTCACTCCCAACATATTCTCTGTTTTATTCACTTCCTTAAAGACATGTTTCACATAACAAGGATTTCCTGATGTGCACTGTACTGAAAAAAACTCCAATAGTTCAGCAGTTATGATGATGACAGCATGAGTAAACTCAATGACCTCTACAAACACACGCTCTCCTCTCCTCTCAACCTCAGCTTTTTCTCCCCATCAGTCTCCCTCGATCAAACATGATGTCAAAAAATGGAGCCAGAAGAACCGGAAAGCACTCACCTTTTTAACCTGATCATCCTTGAGTTCAGTGAAGTAATAGGCTAGTAGCTGGGCCGCAATCATCCTGGTCCTAGTTCTCTCTCACACACACATGCAGACTCACTCAAACACACTCTGTCTCTCTCTCTCTGTCACACACACACGACCACCTACAGTTAGATGAGGAAATATCCTAAATAAAAAGGTAAAACAAAGCAACTCAAGTTCTGCTCTGGCTTTAGATTGTACATACAATCTGTCACACGCTGCACGAGATATACAAATATCCTGAGTACAATCCGGCGTGGTTTAAAATAGCCAGAGCTTCCTCATGTGCTGCTAAGACTCTTCAGCCCTTCTTTCTCTGAACATGTGAGTGAAGCCAGGAAGTATGAGTGAGACAGCAAGTTTAGCTGCAGGAGGCAGAGAGAGAAAGAGAGAGAAACAGGGAGGGCCAGAACATGAGCTCTGCCCACTGTCTCTGAGCTCATTGGTTACAGAGTGTGAGCGGCCATTTCTGTGATTGGCTGGCCTGCTGACGCCTTGGACTGCCTATTTAGGAAGGGGGAGGGGGGAGGAAGGTGAGCAGGGAATTTGGGTTTTACTGTTTCAAGGAAGTTATAAAGTGACGTACCATCCAGTGTGTGTTAGTGAGAAAATGACTCACACAGTCATGATACCAGTGTAGGAGTTTATAGCTTTTCACTGAAGAGTCATTCTGCTTGGAAGAGGAGAGGAAGCTGCCGAACGTTCCTCCTTTGAGCCTCAGCAACTGTGAAGGGTGAAAGAAAAGGTTTTATACACAGCACTGGTAAAGTTCTGGAGCGTAACAGTGGGGAGGTCAGGGAGCATCGTGATGCCTTTTGTAGGTCGAACCAGCATCTCAACTGGTGACCATTTCTGTGTTTGTGTGTGC